AATTTCAAGCTGTCTGGAATCTCCATGATTACGAGTCTTTCTCATCCTGTCTGTGTTGGGGGATATTAGTGTCATTGTGGGGGGGTGATTGGAGGTGAAGGAGTAATTTTAAGGACAATTAACTAGTTTAAGACACTTATTTGAAGAGTCTAACATGTGCTGTAACAGATCCCAAGATAGAGTGACACTAATACATAGTTTTCGATCCCGATCATCACACTTAAAATTATGTTTATTTTTTTTGATTCGGAGACTAACCATATGCTGAATTCATATATGGTACAATTTTTTTTTTTTTTTTGGAGTATATGTTCTTATACTAGATCTAACTGCAGAAATACTACATGGCTTCATCACGGGAATTGGTTCGCATTGTAAGCATCCAAAAATCTCCAGTTATCCATCTTTTTGGCGAGTCAATTGCTGGAGCTGCCACTATAAGAGGATTTGGGCAGGAAAAACGCTTTATGAAGAAGAATCTTTATCTTCTTGATTGTTTTTCCAGGCCATTTTTCTGCAGCATTTCTGCTATCGAATGGCTATGCCTGCGTATGGAGTTGCTTTCCACATTTGTCTTTGCTTTCTGCATGGTTCTGCTCGTGAGCTTCCCAAGGGGAACCATTGATCCAAGTACGTAATTTCACATTTCAGAATCAGGTTTGCTAGAACTCACTGAATTTCCAAATGGGGATAGAGAATAGATTTTAAAAAGACTCCATATTATTTTACTTTATGAATCTTCATAATGGTTCTATAAAAAGTTAAGGAATACTTAATCAATAATTCCAATATTTTTATTGGTAACATAATATGGTAGACTAAACAAAAGAATCACGGCTTACCATTTACTCTGTATATTGTATTCAGTAATAAAAAATTGGGTCTAGGTCTCCAAACCTCATTATAATACCTGTGCATTCTTTGCTCCAAGTTCTTCAACTTATAGTTCAGTTCTTGCAACACAAATGTGTTTTCCTTTTGCAATTCTAGTATTATTTTTCATGTAGTTTGGAATTTTCTTTGTAGTGTGGAATTTGGATGTACTATAGGATTAGGACACCTATTCATTTCTGCAAGTTGTTATAGCACTGGAGAATACTACTGCATCTTCATCAGTCCTTTTGTTCGACTTAGAATTTGATTCTGGTGGATAAGTTAGGGCACATAATCCGAGATTAACTTTAGGGAACAGAAGCTAGCTAAATTAACTAAGCAATTTTTATAACAAATATACTACCAGAATAACGCCTACTTCTATAGTCCCTATTATGACTTGTAAAGATTGAGAGCTCACCATTTGGTCCCTGGCTGATTGACTTTGGCTCTAGACTTGGACTTCTTGCCCCCTTAGTGAGATGACATAATATCTGCAATGCTAATTTGTTTTCTTTTTTCTGATAGGTATGGCAGGCCTTGCTGTGACCTATGGCTTAAATTTGAACGCACGTCTATCACGATGGATACTTAGCTTCTGCAAACTTGAAAACAAAATAATTTCCATAGAAAGGATTAATCAATATTCTGAAATCCCAAGTGAAGCTCCACCAGTTATTGAGAACTGTCGACCTCCAGCTGCATGGCCAGAAATTGGGACTATTGAACTGATAGACCTGAAGGTTTGCAGTTTATCTTTACTTGCTTACAGAATACCACTCTAAAGTTGCTTCCTTATCACTATTACATATTGTATATGTGTTAAGGAGGTCAATAATAAGTTTTATGAGACCTTTCTGTTGATTCTTCTTCTGACAGGTGCGATATAAAGAGAACCTTCCTTCTGTTCTTCACGATTTGACTTGCACATTTCCTGGTGGGAAGAGAATTGGCATTGTTGGCCGTACTGGAAGTGGAAAGTCAACATTAATTCAGTCACTTTTCCGAATGGTTGAACCTGTTGCTGGAAAGATTATTATTGACAATATTGATATCAGCACAATTGGGCTTCATGATCTCCGAAGCCGTTTGAGTATCATTCCACAAGACCCATCCTTATTTGAAGGTACCATCAGGGGCAATCTTGATCCTCTTGAAGAACACTCTGATCAGGAAATTTGGGAGGTAATTGTCTGAAGTCACAACCCCCCCCCCCTCTCTCTCTCTCTCTCTCTCTCTCTTATATGTATCAAACTCTAATTTTAATTTTCTAAATACTTGTATGTATTTTAAATGGCACTCTCTCTCTCTCATGTGGTGCTCTTGAATAGATCCTCTTTTATATAGATAATTTTGTTTTTTCCCAGCTCCCAGTTCAATTTCATTCTAGGACCATAGTTAATATCTTCCCTGGTTGCTTCATATTATTATGTAGATTTGAGAGCAGCAATCTGAAACTTCCTGGTTTTGTCTATACTTGTCTGCTGTACTAATTACTTGCATCTTATTTTGATGCAGGCGCTTGATAAATCGCAGCTTGGAGCCCTTATTCGTCTAAGAGGCGAAAAGCTTGATTCACCAGGTCTGTTGTCGCATACATGAGAATGCCTATAATTATTATTGGCTTTTTTTTTTAACCAAATTTGGTTTTGCTATACATGTAGTGCTTGAAAATGGAGAAAATTGGAGTGTTGGGCAACGACAACTTGTTTCTTTGGGCCGTGCTTTGCTTAAGCAAGCTAGGATACTTGTTCTTGATGAAGCCACTGCTTCTGTTGATACAGCGACAGACAATCTTATCCAGAGTTTGATAAGAGCAGAGTTTAAGGACTGCACAGTTGTGACCATAGCGCACAGAATACCAACAGTCATGGACAGTGATTTTGTGTTGGTCCTCAGTGACGGTGAGTCTGGAATCTTCTGTGTACAATTACTATTTGTTTCAGATCTTTTTTATTTTATTTTTTTTTATTTTTGTCCCTATTGTTGACCCCTTCTTTGTCTCTCAAAAATGCGATTCAGGGGGATTTTGTGATTGCGTGCATTATATATTTTTTTTTTCCCAACCCTAACGAATAATTTCCACATACAATCCTCCCCCTTACCTAACAAAGGCTTTTCTACTGTTATTTTTCTTACATTTGCTTGCATGTTAGTAAATCGTAATTGTCGTAAATTCAGAATACCTTTCATATTCTTAAGTTAATATTGTGGAATGATAGGGCTAAACAGCTGGAGTGTCAGGGTGATTGATGTTTAGTTGAGTGAGTGTAGGTGTGTAAACACTCATTTTGTGCTGGTGCTTTAATTTAAAGTATAGGTTTTGTTTGGCCTCATACACTCTGCTGACATCAGGAGCATGAAGTGTACATTGAGAATTTGCTCTTAAAAAGTTTACTTTCAGAGGATAATAATAGACAATATTCTATTTTTGTGCCCCAGCAAATTTTATACTTTCATTAATTGTGATGGTACCATAATTACTCGCAATTGGAACGTTTGAATGTCCACTGTAGGCTCATCTACTGTTGCAAATCATTGCAGGTCGGGTGGCTGAGTTTGACAGTCCTGCACGTTTGATGGAAAACAAGTCATCTGTGTTTTCTATGTTGGTAGGAGAATATACATCAAGGTCAAGCAGTATATAACTTTCATGAGTAGAAGCCGATTTCAGGCCAAGATGAAACCTGTTCTGTTTCAGGCCAGCCTTGAAAGAAACTGATTGTTTCTGTGCCTACCGAGCTGCAGCCCCTCGGCCAATGGACAAGTGAGAAAGGAGGTCAGAACTCCATAATTCTCAATCCCATTTCTGGGCTAAGCTATCCTCCAGTTTTGAAGAACAAGATTGCCCTGTGTTTTTACAAGGGCGTGACTTGGGATTTTCTGCCCAATTAAGAGTTGATGGAAGATGGGGTTGAACAGGGTTCAGAGATAATAACTATCTGAAGCCAGAGATGAATAAACGATTCGGATTACAAGAAATCATAACCCATGCTGATGAAGAAGCAGCTGCGTTATTCCTTTTTGTCTATAAATATGTAGAGCCTCAAACAGACTATCATTGCTGATCCCACGCTTCCACTTCCTGTAAAAATAAGACAACCTCATGATTTGTAAAGATCAGTTCTTTTTAATGATAAAGCATTTTGCACTATAGTATTTCATCCTCTTGCTGGTTTTGCAGTTTTAGCTTGTTGGATTACAAATATCATGGCCAAGCACCTGGAGAATATCTTTTTCGAAGAGAGACTAAGCCCTGCTGTTTAGACTTGTTTCTTTAGTTTAGTCCAATAAATTTTCCCTACAATTTCATTCATTCAATCCAAAAGAACCAAGGGTCGGATTGGTCTAATGCTCCAAATTGTCTCAATTTTAAACCTATTGGTATTCATCTAAGCTTATTGAAGCTTAGCTTAAAAGTCAAAATAATTTAAGATTGTAAGGTAAAATATTACAAGTATAAGCTTTAATATAGACTGCTGAATTCAATTTACAACTGAATTTAATGAAGCTTTAGAAGTTGATAACTTGATATTAATGAGTAGAATAGTGAGGAGTTAAGGATTATTCCTTGGAAGTTCATCAGAAAGATAATAATAAGTTAATAACTACGCAAATTGACCTAAATCAATCTCGATTTTTCAGATTTGAATTGCATTTTAGGATGAAATTCCCGACGGCTTTCAAATTTTTAATTGAATCGGGTTCAAATCATTTTATATGTCAAGACAAGTTAAGTCAACTTCTTCCAAGTTAGGAATCAATGCAACTTGTACCCAACTTAAACAAAAAAATTAAAATCCAAATTAATACAATCTCAAAATAAAGTAGATTTTGAATGTTCTTATTACTCTACATTCACCCCCACCCATATCATACTTAATCCATGGATGCCAACTATCTAAATGGGTTAAAACTCTTAAGATATTGCTCAAAACATGAGATTAAATCCCGTCTACATCATTGTCTTTTATGACTCTCTACATTTTAAAAGATTATATGTAACCCTCAAATTGGCCAAATCCTATTTATCTCAATTCAACCTCATACGTATACAAAAGGTCTAATCCAACTTAATCCCGATTCAAACGATTCATTTGCCAACTCGAACCCAAACCCAATATGGGCTCAAGTTCGTTCCCATGATCGGATCCCCCAGGCTCCAAAATCCACTCAAACGAGCAAAGACCCCCTCTCTCTCTCTCTCCACCTCTATTCCTCCGCACTGCGCCCAGTTAATTGCATCAGCTGCAAACCCTCTTCATCTTCCTCTTCCTCTTCCTCTTCCTCTTTCTCTTGACAAAATGCAGTCGATTTCCAGGCGATTATCCCACCAATCTTTCAAGACTTCTCCTTCAATTTCATCTCTCAAGTCTCTTTACCCTCTTTCTGATCCTCGTAATCTCTCTTTGTCTCTCCTCTTACATTTTTTTCAATTCCAATTTTTCTGGGTATTGCAAATTTTTGACATTTCTAGGGTTTTTTTTCAATTTCGCATTGTTTGTTTTTGAAATTATGATTGATGATTGTTTGGGATTTAGGTTATGGTGCTGATCAATCAAGGTATGGATCTACTGTCGCCACTAAAGGTGGAGGGCCCCTAGTCAGAAAGGGAACTGGTGGAAGATCATCTGTTAGGTAAATTTATTTTATCGTTATCTTTAATTTATTGAATTTATCGAGTAATTGAAGCTGCTATTTGTATGAATTCATCTGTTGAAAATGTAGCTTCCCCAATTTATAATTTGTAAGCATTTCATTTTGTATTCTGAACTTATAGAAATTAATGCCTTAAGGAAGAACCTGTTTGAGTTGAGAGTTTAATCGGGGTTTCGGAGGTAGTGAATTAATGGGAAGTGATTTTTTAGGTAAATACTAAAAAATATTTACTGTAAGTACAACAAAAAATTTCAATGCCAATCAAATTTTTTCATACCAATTGTAAATTAATAATTGAGAAATTTATAATTAATAATATCATCAACTCAAATCATCAACCCAAAACAACACTTTAAATTATCTGAATGAAAAGCATAGTTAACAACAAATAATAATTCAGTAACAATAGCAATTAGATTGACTATTTAATTTGAAAGAAGAGGAAAGAAGGAATACCCCTCTTAGCCTCTTCTCCCAATCTGCACCACCACGAGTCTGCGACCCCATTCACAACACCGCCATTGCAACCGCCACACATCCATCTGAATTTTATTCTTCGTTTTACAAAGTACTATATTTTTCATATCTTCTCTTTTAATTTGTTTTATTCCCTTTTAGAAACTTTTATATCTTCAAATGAATTTTTAGCTTATAGAAGTACTCCGTATGAAATAAGAAAAAATGGGTCTATTTATTTCATTATAAATTATTAAGAATGGTTTTACTGGCATGTCAAAAAAACAGAATGGTTTTACTGACTTGGTGAAAGGAGAGAGAGAGAGAGAGAGAGAGAGCAAAAGAGGGGTATTGATTAGAAAGAGAAAGAGTGTTTGGGGAATTGAAAATATTTTTGGCTTTTATGATTGTTGTGGGATCAAGACCGAAAGATGAAATACCAAAAATGTTGAGTGTGAGAGTACTATTTTAAAGTTACTGCAACTTGAGTTGTAATTTTTTTCAAAAAAAAAACTGTGTCACGTGACACACTATGACCATATGTGGGTCCGCCCCTGAACCTGCTTTTGCTCTCGGGGTCTAATAAGAAGAAAAAGCGATTACTATTTCATGATTGATTATGGTGTAAAGCTGGAAAAATGACTATTCTGAAGTTTTGTAGCATTAGTAAATTAATGTAGGTGCTAATTTCAAATGACAAGGCGAGACAGTGAGTAAAAGGTGGTATATTTTGTTTTATTCTTTCCCTTAAGTTTAGTAGTTTGGTCCCTCCAGACTAATATCTTTAAGCTGAGTTTCGGAGTGCTATGGAGATTTTGAGGTGAATGTTTCTGGATATGATGTTTAAGAGAAAGAACTAGAAAGTCTTGTTGTAACTTTAAGGATGGGTGGTGATTTTTGAGCTCAATGAGGTATTGGTTATTAATAAAGAATAACTTTTAAGTGTTTTTAATGCCTTTTTGCTGAACTAAGATCAAGCATTTGGCCATTAGTAACTTGTCTTCAGCTGCTTGGTGTCAACTAGTTTATTAAATAATGAACTTAGTACTATTGCTGAGTGGGAGTTATGGAGCTGTGGAGCATAACTTTTTGGATTTATGCTTTGTGACATTGTGAGATCTTTGGGTTTGTAGACTTGCCTTGCATGAATGTTCGTGCTTTATGCTTGCTTAATGGAATTTATCAAATTTCAGTTTCTTGTTCATTAATCATTCAACTTCAAGTTTATTCTTCTATTTAAGGCCGTGTTTGGTTTGATGTAAAATGTTTTCCTCCCAAAGTGATTTTTCCATATTTTTCTCATTTTCCTTTGTTTGATTTGTGAAGGGGTGGAAAACAGTTTTTCCCAATGGTGAAAAATTATATCCTTAATGGTAGAAAACATTTTTCTTTATAAAACAAGGGAATCCTCATTTTCCTTCCCTCCTTTTTTACTTTCCTCTCGTCCCCATTTCCACTACTATCTTTAATTTTGTGATGACTTTTTTATGAAACCAAACAAAAGAAAACTAATTTGCAATTGTGGTTTTCGTTGAAAATATGTTTTCCTTGAGAACTGATTTTTCATTAAAAGTGTTTTATATCAAACCAAACGGGAACTAAATGAAAGGGGTTTCGAGAAAGTGAAATAAAGAAGTTTAATCACTAGGACATCCATTAGGGTATAATTGAAGTTTTGGAATGTATTTTTTTTTTAAATACTACCAGACATGTGCTGCTCTTGAATCTCATTAGATATTGAAGTAATTGAGCTGATGCACTGTTTTGACTAATAGTCTGACTAGGAAACCTTTTGACCTATGCATCTATGATAAATATTTTGCTTACAGTTTTACGAGTCCATCACTCTCTCGGTATGTATCTCCTACAAGAAGACTGGAACTAATGGGTTTATGTGAGTATTTCAGGATAGTTCCTCTTTTTGCTATAGATTTAAAGGTCTCTACGAAATGAGAATATCCATAAGCTACATGCTCGATATTTCTATCTTTGCCATGATTTCGGTTTACATAGCTCCTTGTTCACTTATTATGCATTAAGTTTCTTTTATTAAAAGAGAGAAATGGGTTGATGACAACACAAGAAACTAATGTATGGAATGTAGAAGAATATTTAAAAGGCTATGCAAAATGCGCAGATCTCACCTTTTTAAGGGTCGCATGGATGCTTATAGGCGCTTCACTGAAAGCTTTAGGGTTTGTTTGGCATTGTTGTAGTTTTCTTTTTTAAAAAAAAAAAAAATCATATGTTATACTTTCTCTGTTCTTTTTTTATTGCACCATAAGGGATTTCACGCTTGCCAATGCATTACTTTAGCTATCAACTAGGTTGCACAGATTCGGATACGGGTACAAAAACGGGAACGGGTACGGGGACGGGGACGGGATACGGAAAAATAAATATTTCAAGAAACGGGTACGGCATAGATACGGCAAAAAAAATTTTGTAAAATATAAATTCATAAAATTTCTACAAAAAAAATCTGTACAACGCAAATTGAAAGAAAATAATTTCATAAAATGATAAAACACATAACCATTTAAAACGGAAAACGAAACCGAAAAAAAAAAATTGTTTTAAAAAAAATGAAATAAAAAAAGTAAAAACAAAATACCCTATTGCCCAAAGTTCCAGATCGCTACTGTGTGGTCTGTGTCGAAAGTGAAAATTAAAAAAATAACTTAAATACTCCATGACTATCGCATCACATTATAAAGAAACAAACAAAACGAAAAAAATGTAAATCACTAATCAGCATCTCGAAGTGTCGAAGGCAAGCGGAGAAAACTGTAGAATAGAGAAAATTAAACTAAAAACAAAAAGAAAAGGGCTTTACAGCTCAAGAATTAAAGTCAGAGAAAGTGAGAAGTAAAAAAAAACACATGAACAGTAGAAGTACAAGTAGTAGGTAGAACTTTCAGCTAAATGGGAAGCTTCACCGGTCTCTGGTGTCGGAGTGGGTCGCAGGTGGTCTCCGGCCACCGGTGTCAGCTGAATCTGTTTCCTTCTACCCTCCTTCAATTTTAGGGTACAGTTTAATCATGAATCAGGTAAGTTTAAAGGGTTTTTTTTCTAATGGGCTGGGCTTGATTTGGGTTGGGGACATCAAAAACTTGACCAAACGTCCCTGAAACGTCCCCAAAACTACCATCAGCCGTATCCAAAAAGCCACGCCGTACCCAAAACTAAGGGGACACCTTGGGGACGTATCTGAGCCGTACTCGTACCGTACCCGTCCCCGATATGTCCCCGATACGGGGAACGGCCAAAGACTGCCGTACCCGTGCATCCTTGGCTATCAATATCTTCAATTATACATTTGTAAAAATTATAAAAATTTGATGTTTGAAAAGTAGAGTTCGATACGAATCTAACTAGATCCCACATGACTATATTTTTCCTAATGTATAAATCATAAATAGTGGTCAAAGAAGATTAAGTGAATAGTGTAAAAGTCCTAATGGTGCAATAAAATAAAAACGGAGGAAGTATATTATATAATTAATCAAAAATTAGTCAAACTTAATAAAATTATGATAATTTTGAACACTAATAACAAAAAAGTGGAAACACTTTTTTTGTTTCCTGTTTTTGGTTTATTGTTTTCAAAAAAGCCGAAAACTAAAAATAAAAAACGATGCCAAACAAGCCCCAGTATTTTGTTTTTCTGCTTTCTACATTCTTGAAACCGAAGCTGCTTATTTAAATGGCTCAATTTTCCAATACTGTGGAAGTTACCAAGGTATATGCTCTTATTAGTTGCCATATATCAAGAAGTTTAAAATGTTCAGTTTAGCTAAGCAAGTTAGGATATTTTTGTAAAATTGTTCATGTTGGTGTCTTGCAGTGGCATTGTTGCAACAGTTTTTGGATCGACTGGGTTTCTAGGACGCTACGTTGTACAGCAACTTGGTGAGTCAAGTTACAAAACTTTCACAAACTATTGGTTTTAATTGTTCTAGTGGTATCATTTTCAGTTTCTTTTTATATATGTCATATACATTTTTGAACTATGATGCTTCAAGTCAAATATGGGCTTTAGATTTGTAGGAGCATCAAATATGAAAAATGATTAACCTAACGATAAGGAGGCATGGTTAAAAGTGTCAAACTTTTGAATTGATTTTGGTGATATGGCTATTGAGTTTAATATCCTCACTATGGGTTATGAGCCACCTAATTAATTTGATGGGTATGGTATCACAGGTGATGAGGGTTAACCTCACCTTGGAAATACAAAATAAGTTCTAAAAATTTTCAGCTTTATACTCACATGGGTGTTAGCATCATGAGAGTATAAAGCTTTTTACTCTCATGACAAAATAAGTTCTAAAAACTTCTATGTGGACTGTCATTTAAACACCCAAGGGGCAGGGTGCTAACTTATTAGATGGATTATACAGGGTATTGGCTGGCTTACTTGGAGATCATGTTGTAGAGGGTAGGACATATGTTAGAAGGCAACTTACTCATCAATGGAAAATTAAAAGCCTTAGGATTAGATTTGAACAGGCTTTAGTAGAAGCGCATGGAGGGCTTGGAGGCACCTCCAGGAACAATTAATTAAGGATTCTACTTAGAAGTTTTTATGTGTATCGTGGAGGGGTAATTTTAATACTATGGGATTATAAAGTCTGTCACACGTATATAAGGAAAATAAAGATGGTGGTGTAAAACGAATTTCAAGTTCTCACTTATTTTCACCCCCTCTCTTTGTTAAGTTACTCACTCCTCCCTCTGAATGGTCAATGCTATGTAGACTCGCTCATTATTTTTTGACATATCTTTTGATTTATTCGCAATGTCAAATTGAACAAATCTTTGCGGCTAACAAGTTTTGGTTATAATTTTTTTCCTTGCTTCCCTCCCATGAGTCCCATCTGCTGCATTTATTTATCTAACTGCATTCACCGTTTTCTGGGAGATTCAAAACACATATCTCTTTTAGTAATTTATACAAGGGTTGTTTGTCCTAGCTTTTTTACCTTCTTTTGAACTTTAGAAAGGATCCTCTCTCTCCTGTTTCCCTTTTAGTATACAGTTCATGTTCTGACAACATCCTAGTTTACTGCAGCTAAAATGGGGAGTCAAGTTTTGGTTCCTTTTCGAGGTTCTGAGGATTCTCCTCGTCATCTCAAATTGATGGGTGATCTTGGGCAGGTAAGTTTCTATATTGAGGTTTGAGTATTTGTTGCAATTGCAATTTAAAGTTGGCCCCTGATGCATGCTATTCCTTTCAGATTGTACCTATGAAGTATGATCCAAGAGATGAAAGCTCAATCAAAGCAGTGATGGCAAAGGCCAATGTTGTGATCAATCTTATTGGTAATGTTCTTTTCTTTACTTTTTAATGATATTTTGAAATGTTGCTTTTTCGTATTCTAATTACATAAAATATGGCAGGGAGGGAATATGAAACAAGAAATTACAGCTTTGAGGAAGTCAATCACCACATGGCTGAACATCTTGCTCAGGTTGGTTATCTTTTTGCGAATTCTGCACTATGTACAGTTTATTGGCTTATTTTTGGGGGTTTGAGAAGGAAGGGGGGGGGGAGGGGAGAAAAGTAATAAGTACATAATAGAGTGACACGAAAGGCCTATGGTCGGATGATCCATTTACAACAGAGGACTAAGGACAAGAAGAATATACCCTCATCCTCGAGGGCGTAGTAAGCATTGAGGTCAATAAGGCCCTCCAGCTTAAAATAGGAATGACAACTGATTGTTCTTCAAATCATTAACTTTGGTTGTTTCATATGAACTACCTATCTTAATCAAGGTGTTTCAAGTTGAATTTTAAATCTTAATCAAGATGTTTCAAGTTGAATTTCAAAATTTGCTGGATGAGCTTTATTTTTTACATTAAAATTCTGGCTAAACTTTGGCTTAGGCTGACTTGTTCATTTAGTGTAAAGTGATTCTATATAATGTCCAGACTTTGAACTTGTTACACTTGCACATAGCTGTTTAATTTGTGAACTTCACTGAATAATTCACAAGTTAAACTTATATATTTATTTAAAAGCTGATCATGATGGTGAATATTGTAAATATATGTACCTTTGGGTTGATACTATGAAATAATATATGAAAAACTTACTTGAGCATATACAAATTTCAAGACTGAGGCCAATAGCATGCTTGGGATACACACTCTGTACCAGTTAAGTAGTTAATCCAATTAAATCCTTGTAGAAATCATATTTATTTCTAGCTTCGAAGCTACACTAGTCGGATGATGAACATGATCATTAAGTAAACAGACATACTGTATATTATCAGGGATATTAACACTTGCATGACTTGAGAATTTGTTTATGTATACAAAACTGGGAAGTCTTCAGTGACTCCTAATAATTGGATTCTGCACTCGGAAAAAGCAGCTGGCAAAAGACTAAATAAGTTGATGAAAATACCTCCAGCCTACACCAAGAAAACTGCTAACAATTCTATATTTTGGAACATCAGTTATTAGATTTTACACTTTTGTAAATTGACCAAGCTTAGCATTGCTAAATGAATCAGGGGACAGCATCTCGAGAGATTCAAGTCGTTCTAGTCAAGTAGCTACATATTTGAGTATCATTAGTGAATCGATGGATAAAAATGAGCTGTCAAGAATTATATTTTATAATGCATATATATCCATTTTACCTATTTCAACCATAAAACTCCGTCTCAGGAATGAAAAGAAGAGGAGCACCTTGGCTCCAGCGCAACCCATAAGATCTTGTAAAGAGACCTGTTGGCTGCTTGTTGACTAACAACAAAATGAACCCCCTTCATTTACAAATAAACCCATTCTTTCAAGGATTGACAAAATAATCAAATTATGTGGAATATGTTCGTAAGCCTGTCTTGCCTGAATTTAGCGTGCTGAGATAATCACGTTTGATTGAATTATACAGATTAAACTTTAACAGTAATTAATAAATCATATCCCAAAAAAATAAATTACAAATATGATAGTGATTACTAAAGCCATTGTACTCGGTCCATCCCCGCCCTTTTAATTAGGAAGTCAATGGGCTTTGTGGATCTGCCCTTTGAGGGGAATAAGAACCTAGTGGGAAACCCAGGCTGTAAATTGGAAACAAGTTTGAAATAAAACACAATGTGCCTTTTTAGTTATTGTGTTCGGATGACGCCAATTAAACTTCAGTCCTAACCCTGTGGCTGGGAGCTCTATTACTGAGCTTCCTCATGATTTTATTCCAGTGTGTCCCTCTTAAGGTCTTATGTTAACTCATATACTCAAATGCATAAGCTGTATGTTTTGACATTTTACTACGCTCCCAAGGACAAAACTTTATGTTTACATGTATGAGAACTGTTCTTTATGTCAGTATGTCTCCTAAGGTAAGTTTAGTAAGTACTTAAGAAATGAAGAATTCAATGGCTTCTCTCCTGTTTGTGCTAATAGATAATTTGTTCTGTAGATTGCTAAGGAACATGGTGGCATTACGAGATTTATTCAAGTTTCTTGCCTTGGGGCATCTCCAACTTCAGAATCCAGGATGCTAAAAGCTAAGGCTGCAGCAGAGGAAGCTGTTTTGAGAGAACTGCCAGGAGTAAGTCTGTTTTATCTCTTTCAATGTTGAATTAAGGCCTTTTGGGTCGGTGGTTTTGAATGTAGAATTAACTGTCAATGAAGCTTATCTATTTTGCAAAATTTTTTGAATTCTGGTGACGAGTCTTGTTAAAGTGCTGGGTTACTCGTGCGAAACTTATCCTGGGCTGTAGATTGTCTTGTCTTGATTCACTCTTTCATGTAACAAATATGCAAAAAGGTCATACTAACAAAGTTTCTAGATCCTACATCAATTATGTTTTGATGTAATTTTTTTTTCATGCTTATGGCACTAGTTTCTGTGTTCTTGCACATCTTGCAATTAATGGCATGGATTTGCATATTGGTGAATGGCAAACTATATGTAGTAAGCATTTTGCATAATAACAGGATTAACATGTGTTTACATAATCTGCAGGCAACTATATTAAGGCCTGCTACTATGATTGGTACAGAGGATCGGATTCTTAATACCTGGGCACAGTTTGTGAAGAAGTATAGCTTTCTTCCCCTTATTGGGGATGGATCAAATAAGTATGTCTGGAATTGATCTTGAACTTGTTTTGTTGCAATATTCTCTCCTCCCCCTTTTTTCTTTTTTGGTTTAGAGAGAGAGAGGGGGGGGGGGTTAGAGGGGTATTTGGCCATGTTTTTTTTTTTTTTTTTTTTTTTTGGCTCTTGAATAATTGTATTACATGTATTTGTTTGCTTCCTTTAGATGCTTTAACCGTGTTGCTCTCCAGAATACAACCTGTTTATGTGATCGATGTTGCTGGTGCAATTGTTGCATCTTTGAAAGATGATGGCTCTAGCATGGGAAACACTTATGAACTTGGAGGGCCAGATGTCTATACTGTGCATGAATTGGTAATACATTGAAGCTTTGTAGTGCTTAATAAGTTCAACTGCTTGGATTCTAACTGAAGTCTTGTCTCTTACAGGCAGAACTTATGTTTGAAACAATTCGTGAATGGCCCCGGTATGTGAAATTGCCGGTGCCAATTGCAAAGGTAAACAATTACTCCATGGCATGTTTGCTTCCTTGTTGGCTGTGTAGGTTAGTCATGGTTGTGATGCTAATTGATCAGTAATCCATAGTACTCAGAATCTTGGCCCATTTAAAGTACTAGTGAATGGACTATATCTACCTATTGATAGTTTTGTGGAGGATAATACATCATTGCCACATATACTGGATTAGGAGTTTCTTTTAAATTTTGAGTGTGCTGTATGTCTTGAATGAAACTCGGAGGAGTATTAATGCATCTTACTTATCTTAGTTTTTACTTGTATGAGATGGTTGTTTCTTTTTGAGAAAAGAAGTAAAAGATATCTAATGTCTGGCCTAGCAAAATTCCCCAGGATAGAAGTATAATATTTGCTTGTGCCTTTTGTGGTAGTGACAAATTTTTTGTAATGCAGGCCATTTCCTCTCCTCGAGATCTCTTGATCAACAAAGTTCCATTCCCCTTACCATCTCCAGCAATATTTAATCTGGATCAGATCCATGCCCAATCTGGAGATACAGTTGTATCAGATAAGGGTTAGTATATTCAATTTAAGTGTAGGGTCTAGCAATTCTCCTTAAGTTATTTTTAGTGACCACAAAGTTCACAATATTAAAATTTGGTCTGAATGATTTCACAGCTTTAACATTTGCGGATCTTGATATTGCCCCACACAAGCTCAGAGGATATCCTGTTGAGTATCTGGCATGTTACCGGAAGGGTGGGCCACAATTTGGGTCTACAATCAGTGAAAAAGTTACTCCTGATCCTTGGCAATGATATTTCTGATCAAGTTCATTAATCTTGCTGGAAGTTCTTGTTCTTACTGGGTATCTTTGTAATAGGTATGTGATGCATTCACATTTTCATGTATGCTGAATGAGTAATGCAGGCATTACTTTGTCAACATTTCTTCTCATGTGATCTTCCGTTAGTTATAGTGGGCGGCGGGACAGTACAAATTTTGAGTGCTGATCATCTTTAGTGTTGCCATTATAGGTCTAATCAAGGTTGAAATGCCTGCTGTCAAGAAACAAAGAAGAAATAATAAACGTGATTATTCTGTCATTCAGGGTTGTATAATCTTGAGAAATGTTCTCATCATCTGTATTTTTTGAAGCCTTTGCTAGTTTGAATTGCTGAGGCTGATTTATATCGGGTGAACAGTTTTGTCTTTTGATTCAGAAAATCCTGTGCCCGATGTTCTCTCTGCTTTACATTGTCCTTGTTCTTTACCTTTTATTTTCGAGTGTTTGACACTATAACAAATGGCAGCTTTTGGTTGAAAAACTCACTGGATTTGTGGCCGCTCACTCGCTTGTAAATGCAGCTCCTGTATGTGACTCAGATCTGGGAACTCATTAAATTTCCATGCTTCTGATCCAAAATGAAGAGTGTCCTGTTCTATACCTATGTCAGAGTGTTCAGGGTCCATCATGGCCAGCGAAAAGAACCAGCTTTGCCCTAAATAAAGCCTTTGTACGAAATGAATAATAGTTTTGTGAACAAGTACAATTCTTTTCTTCTCTTTTTCGTGTAATTTCTCTGATTTCCTTTCCATGCCTGTTTATTCAATTACAGAACATCTTTCTAATGTCAGATTCGACAATAAAATAGAGTACAATCTTTCAGTACTTTCTTCTTGATTCCCCTTCTTTTCTTTTCCCTTGCATAGCTTTTCCTTAATTGTTGTCAACCAAGCTTACAACGAGTTTAATTAGCAGAAGCTAACTGAGGGATGGGAAGGACGGAGGGGGTTGCTTTATTTTCTTCTCAATCTTTTGAACATGGTGAAGATGTGGTTACTAGAAGATAATTGGGTCTCTTCAACTTTCTTTCCATCCTTTCACCCCATTCCATTTTAAAACAAGCGAAAATGGTCCCTTAACTCGTTTCATACTAATTTATTCATTGAAAATTTGAAATACGCCTTAATGACTAAGGAGATTGAATCATACGCGATCTTGATTTCTACAAAGGAGGTCGCTTGAAGTCTAGATATGTAATGAAACTGCTTCGACCTTTAGAAATGCATTGGCAATGAACGGCTAGAGACCAGAGATACTACCGAAGCAAATCATTGTAGCAAAACTGATACAATCTTAAGGGAGTGGATACAGAATTTTACTTATAGTAGTAATGTGAAGTATAATAGTCTGTAGGAGTGTAACTAGCCTTCCAAATTTCAATCTTTTTGTATTGAGTGTTGATCAAGTCATTCTTAGGGAATGTTGGCTTACTTGTAGTGGCAATAAAGTGGAAAATGGAGCCTTTGATTTATGCTAAGGATAAGCTAGAATTCCCATTTTGTATAAAAAAAAATGCCAAACGAAACAAGGAAAGAAAAACACACTATGAAGAGCTTCAAACATTGTAAGGAAATAGATGGCAAATTGAACGAAGACATACTGAAACTGCTTAGGAATATAATGAGTCGAGAAGAGGATAGTCATGTCAGCTTTGATCGCGTTAATGTGGAAGGAAGCAATGTTGGTGCAGTGATGAATGTGCGTCAGAGCAAACCGAAGGAGCTGCCTGACAGTTGTATCAATGTATATGTAAACAACAATGTTCAGGGAGTGAATAACTCCATTTTGGTTGGGAGTGAGGTGAAGATGGGTGACCCTGGGCTTGGCATTTCATTCGGGGATGTCGCGTGGGAGAGAGTTAAGCGCAGCAAGATGGACATGAATACAATTTTCCACAGGTTTGGGTTCAGTGCTGTGTTTCTTTGTGCTTTTCTTCTTCTTGTCTCCCTTCTTCTCCCTCTGCTTAATGGGGGAAAATCATGAGAACGCCTCCAATCGCGTTCAAGCTTGTGAACTTCGGGCTTTTGAGACATAGGTTTCTAGTATTTTGATCATATCATTGCGAAGAGAGGAAGAGAAAGGTGATATTACGGCGAAAATAGCAGTTCATTTTTGTTTGTTTGTTTATTGTTCTATACTTCTATGCCTCAATATGAACTGTTGGGTTAGAATTTATGTATGATTATGATTTTCTGGGTTTATATAACCATTTTTGATGGTCTTCATTTACATTTGAAGTTTGTTAGCTTTTGCCTATTTATAATTCCAATTTGGTTGGGATTGAGGAAATGAGGAGTGAAAATGGCCATAATTAGTCATGAAATCTATTGTTTAATTTGCTTCTCAAACAATGTGTTACTCAAAGTTCTTAATATCTTTCTCAACATCAACATTTGTGTTGTAAAATATCCGAGGGATCTTCCATAGTCGTTTGATAGTGTAGATGACGTAAAGATTGTCATCTTCAATTATAGAATGTTTAATCTGGAGAAAGAGCATTTTTTAACACTTTTTAATGCGTCAGCTTCCTCATTCAAAATAATAGAGTTGGATCCAATAAAGTTTACCCTCATAACTTCGTTCTTTTATGAAATCTTTCCAAATTTGTTAATAAGGGGTTGTGATTGCTCATCCTGAGGGATGCCACTTAAGCTCCTAGACAAGAAAAAGAAAATACTCGTAAATATATACCCAATCAATACATTGCCTAATCAAAGTGGTTTCCATATTAATTAAAGGTGAAACAGTAAGCATTAAATATGTCAGTGCTTTGTGTGATATGTACTCAATAATTGAGGCAAGAGTAGTTTCATGCTCATGTATACTTTGGCCCCATGTTTGAGACTACTTGATTTGTTTGGTTGATTAGGCTTAAATTCTTCATGTACTTGTATAAATAATGCATGCATAGTAGAAATAGGGCTCTTGTATTTACTTTTTTTTATTTTTCATATTATTTTTTATAATCATTCCGCTCTAATTTGGTTTCGAATTTTATAAGCAATCCTACCTATATATATGTACCTAAGAATCTAAGATTGATTTGGTTTGAAATTGAAAATACTCAAACTGATCACCTTACAATTTTATGGCTATTAAGTTGATGGGATTATTCGATCTGATCTAACTTAACCAAATTTTAATTTATATGTAAGGGCAATACCTAAAAATATGTAATGTGAATGAGTCATTTTTCAACTTAATAAAAAAAAGGTAAAGTTTTGGGTGAGACGGACTCACCGTGAGTCCGCCGCCACCACGATCTCCTGCAGCCAGCCAACCCCGACCTTAACCCAGAAACTCACACCTCGACACCAACTCACAAATACCCACCTCGGCCTTGACCAGAATAAAGATGTTAGTCAGGAATAAGACTATTTTAGTCAGGAATAAAATAATTTTATCATCGGGTTTCTCAGACTCACACCTTTTTGTTGTTGAGCCCGATCTCACGTGTGTCCGTTTTACGCAAAACCTTCTCTAGTCAAAACTAACATTTTTCAGAAAAGAAGATCGAGAAAATTTTATCATTGTAGATGAAAAGTAGATCTTTGATAAGATCTAATTATTTATCATGGGGAATATTAACTGACAAATTAGGGAGAAGAAAGAATGAATAGCTTTTGTATTGCTTGATTATTATTAATCAATAGGTTGAGTATTTATACAAAACCTAAGCTCATAAGATAGGAAATAATCTTCCTAAAAGATATATGTCTAATCATAAACCCTAAAGATATATTCTCAAAATAATATCTTAACATAAATATCCTAATTAAATATATTATTCTCTTAAATGATATTTACGGAAAATATATCACACATATATTTTCCGATATCTCTAACACCCTCCCGCAATCGTAACGGCAGTAACACGAACATTGCGATTGGAAATTCTTCACTTTTTTTGAAGCCGAGATGCACACTCTTGTGATGTCGCCTTCAATTTTTTTTTCTTCTTTTTCAATGATGAGAACGTTAATCTTTTCGAACTCATCAGTCATCAATCAATCAAGCAGGAACGTCAATCTTTTCGAACCTGCATCAAATATTGGTTTGTCAGAGTAAACCACACTCAAATTTCTTATTAGTCTTTCAGAGTAAACCACACTCAAATTTCTTATTGGTCTTTCAGAGTAAACCACACTCAAATTTCTTATTGGTCTTTCAGAGTAAACCACATTCAAATCCAAAGGAGCAAAATTCTGCTCGAATCAACTCACAAACCTCTTCTCACGGCACAAGGAGAACCAAATATATCTTGTCTCACGACACAAGAGAGCCGTTTTTTTTATTATTATTTTTAAATATTGCGTCAAGCATAACGTTATTTAATGTCTTCATCTCCAAATATGTGTTATAGTGGAGAAAGTCCACTCACATACTCCCACAAAAAAAAAAATTCTCCCAAAAAAAAAAAAATTCACATACACATATGATTAACGTGTACCAACCCAAAAAAAATAAAAATTTAAAGAGTATTAATATTACATAGCGGAAGGAAAATTTTGAATCCCACCGGTGGGTTTAACTTTCTAACCCACCGGCAGGGGAGAAATTTTTGTGATTTAACTTGCTCTTGATACCATGACAAATTAGGGAGAAGAGAGAATGAATAGCTTTTGTATTGCTTGATTATTATTAATCAATAGGTTGAGTATTTATACAAAACCTAAGCTCATAAGATAGGAAATAATCTTCCTAAAAGATATATGTCTAATCATAAACCCTAAAAATATATTCTCAAAATAATATCTTAACATAAATATCCTAATTAAATATATTATTCTCTTAAATGATATTTACGGAAAATATATCACACATATATTTTCCGATATCTCCAACATTAATGACATGTTTGGTAGGTGGCAAATATTAATACTATGTTAGGCTTAATGAGTTTAAATGTATTTTTATAACTTTATTTCAAATTAAAGATACATGTTTATAAGTTAAAATGTCAAACTATCACATTAGTATGTGCCATTCTTTCTTCTCCATTTGTTTAATAATAACATAATCAATAATCTACTTGCTCACTTAAATATGTCATGCACTCTTCACCTAATAATTGATATAAAATTTCTGAATTTGTATTATTATTGCGTGCAATAGAGGCATAGACACATATCAACATATTCAATTTATAAAGATTGCTCCAACTTTATTAGGGCATCCCTATTGGCCAAAACAACCTCATAATTCTTTAAATGAACAAATCATTTCCAATTCTAGACTTCTAAAAATATCTTGCAAAAATAAATTTATTCTAAAACATAATTTTAAATCAAAAAATTATTGCTTTATAAGATTGTGGGAAGAAAGTTGAACATTCAAAAGTCAATGATTTAGCTACTACGGAGTAATTGAGAGCTTACTAGAATAGTTTTACATTTGTATTATTATTGTGTAAATAAATACATGTATAGTTAATTAATTATAGTACAAGGGTCTATGAACAATGAACTTTTCATTTTCTATTTATTTTTTATTTTTATTTATTTATAAATGCAGAGAAATGCCAGTTGTTGGGGTTGAGGTCCTTGATTCTCTCAATTCATATGATGGGCAACTTAGGAAGCGACGTGCCACTTCCTCTAGGTTATTTTATGCATCATCTTTGGGAATTTCATGGTGATGCATGGTCTATGTTTGTATGCTAGCTTCTCACAATGAACATTGAATGACTTATACAACAATATGATACTTTTTCTCATTGGACAACAAAATTACCATATTCCTTACTACGCTATACACCACGCTTTTATAAGGTGGATGAGAATTTAATCCGTAACATTGCGACATGTATGTGTAATGTCAAGCGATTTTACTTTTTACTTTCTACTCCCTCCGTTTTTAAATACTTGCTTCATTTCTCCTTACGCTGAGTTTTTAGAAGAAATTGGAGAAAGTAATAAAATATGAATTGAAGGTAGTGGGGTAAGTGGAATAAAAAAAAATTGTAAAAAGCAAAAGTAATGAAGAGAATTAGAGGAGGAGAAAATATGAAATTAATAAAATTTGATTTATTTTGGGTCCATTAGGTGAGAGAAATGAATTAAATATTGTAAAAGTATTTCAAATAAGGAAATGGAGCAAGTATTTAAAAACGGCCGAAAAAGAAAAGTGGAGCAAGTATTTAAAAACGGAGGGAGTAGATGAATTAAATTTATTTAAAATACATCATATATTGATACAATTTGACATTGGTGGAATGACTTTGTGGCTAAGCTTAATGGACCAATTGGCTTGACTTGTTATTGAAATTTAGAAACATTATTTGTTTTTATAGTTTTATTAATTTTGTAAGTAAATGCACACATGACTTTAATTTGATACCACTTAAATTACTATTATAATTTCATCATAATCTAAATTCACATTATCATTAAGGTAGTTGGTTTAACGTAGGGTCTGTTCTCTTCAGCTTAATTTCAGTTTAGTTTAGCTCCAATCAGTTCATTTCAGTTATGTTCCTAATTTCCTTCTTTCATAAATAATTAAGTTCAGCTTAGTTTAGTTCAATTTAGCTCCAATCAGCTCAGTTCAATTCAGTTTCGTTCAGTTCAGCTCACTTCAATAAATCTAAACAGGCCCTTAATCTGCTCCAAATTTGCTAAGTTTATAGTTTTTCAATCTATTCCCTTGTTCGAAAACCTATTTTCTAGCTTCTCTATCTTGCACCACTTACCATTGCGTCATTTTACATGTTTGTCGTCAAAAATATTTTGAACGGAATGAACTAATAAAGATAGTTATATGGATAATATATACATACATAAAAAAAATTCAAACAAGATTCAAGATGATAATTTTAATACTAATATTTGATCCTATATAATACTCCATAATTAAAAAATATATGGTCAATTACATGAAATTTGACCTTATTAAAAAAAAAAATCAATCGGTGCATAGTAGTATTGTAGTGTTTCGGAGTAGATTCCAACATAGTGAATAAGGCTACAGCTTGTGGTACATCATTCTTTAATGGAAGCAAACAAAATTACTACTTACGTTATTTTTGAGATCTAAGACAAACGCGCCGACACTTATTTGCATGCAAGGTTAATATATATGTTGTTTTTAAATAATTTTGTCAAAGGAAAATTGTTTAATTCACTAATTATATGTTTAGGAAGAATTGATAGAATATAAATTAATCCTAAATCTAATGTACTCATTTAGGGCCTGTTTTGTTCCGTTGAAATTCAGTTCAGTTCAGTTCAGCTCAGCTCAGTTCAGTTCAGTTCAGTTCAGTTCAACTCAGCTCTTAATTTATGTCTAATGATATTGCTAATGATATAAAGCCAAATTTCATTCTTTTAAGCTCTTATTACAACGACAACAACAACAATAATAATAATAATAATAATAATAATAATAATAATAATAATAATAATAACAATAATAATTGAAATAATAATACTAATAATAATAATCAATAAATAATAATAATAATCATCAATAAATAATAATAATAATAATAACAATAATAATAATACTAATAATAATAATAATAATCATCAATAATTAATAATAATAATAACAATAATAATATTGATACAATTCATTGTTCAAATGGTTCTATTTTTTTGATACATATTTCTAATGTTAATCTCATTGAGAAAATTAGAGTACTACACAACTTAAACTAATTTTCATAGTCAGTTAGTTCTTCGTCTTCTTCTTGTCCACCAAACTCCTCCATTACCTCGGCATTCCTCTGAACTGACTCCCATATCTGATCGGTTATTTCTTGTCGTACAATATCCATAGCTGGTGACTGGAGGAGGAAGGAGATAGGTTTTTAGGTTTTTTCTTTCTCTTTATTTGGGGTTAGAGCATCTTTAATTCTTTATTTGTAAGATTTGTTATTAATTAAAGGAAAAGAGAGTGGGTTAGGGTGTTGGGCCGTAGCAAATTTTAGCTTTTCTTGTTGGTTTGTTTTTTTTTTTTTATATATATTATTTTTTTAAAAATTTGTTTAAATGGGTTAGATACATGTAAGTGTTTTGTATTCTTTTGTCCTAATACTATTTTATTTTTAAATTAAATAGTATATGTGTTTAAAATGTTTAGAGGTTTCAAGTTTTTAATATATTTTCCATACATTTTATAATTATAATTATATAGTATATTTTTCGTAAATATTTTAATATGTACATTTGTATATACACATATGTATAGTAATAAATAATCAATAAATAATCAAAGATCACTAATCCGTAGTTAAAAATCACTAATTAATAAGTTCAGTTCAATTCAGCTGAGTTTAGTCAATCAGAACAGGCCCTTAGTCATTACATAATCCCAAATTCTGAATCATCTCATAATAATATCAACTTTTGAGGCTAGCTAGCTCTCAAAACATAGGGAAATTAGAGGTTAGATTTAAATTAAAATATGCATGCAAATCTGGTAGCTAGCTCTCAAAAGAAGAAAATGCATTAAGGTTTAGATTTAGATTAATATATGCTAATCTAGTAATTAGTGAGTGTTCCTTAGGTTGTGGATCATGCCCCCCTTTGTTACCGATACATTTACCACTACTTATAGTGCATGACTGCATTCTATTCACCTAATATTCACTTATTTACGGTAATCACTTCACTTGTTAGTTTTCTCTTGAAATACATACATACATATATCCTTAATACTTCGTATTAGAAGATTATTACATACAATACTACCACCCTTAATTTTATGTGAACCATTGCTATATATTCTCTTAACTAACCTTCTTAATTGATGAATTTCATAAGGTTAAAATCTTATCTAAATCTTTTAAGCCTTAGTTGGTCTAAAAAGTAATTTTGTTATCAAACTTATTATCTTCATAACAATGTCGTAGTAAGAATCATCCTATCTGCTTCATTTGATTTGATTTTAATCATAATACTCCATTCGTCCTTTTATTAGATTCTACTATTTCTTTTTTGGCACGCAAATCAAAATCAAAGTCCCATTATTAGAATCTTTCCCCTTTTTAGTAAGTGGTTTTTTTTACAATTTTAACCTCATTCTCGCTCTTTACTTAATCCCCAAATTATTCTCATTTTTTAATGATTTTTTGTGTCAAATATTTTTGGTATTTATTAATCCACCAACATATCTTCACTCTACTCATTCTTCTTCTTCTTTATAGGTACTTCTTTTTCTTTTTAGTATTGGTTAACCTCTTTTTTCTCACATGTTATGCAATGCACTTAATATAATTTGATACTTCCAATAGCTTGGTTTAAGGAATATACAAAAACCTTAATTCTTATGAAAAATGAGAAATGAGAGTCTAATAAAAGGACGGAGAGAGTAGTAATAAGAATAAGTCAATTAGGTAAAGCAAAATTAAATTGCATGCTCCCACTAATTCATCTCCCACGATTCCTCACACTTCCATATCCAACCTCAAAAAAAAAAAAAAAAAAAAAAAAAAAAAAAAAAAAAAAAAAACTTAAATAACAACAGAGCTGACGTCATCTGCCACGTGTCCACGAACCAACCGGCTACCGACAAATTCCCATCTCATACGGCGCACAAATCTAACGTGAGCCGCCCTTCCGCCATATTTATACTCTCTTCTCCACTTCCTCTTCTCCCATTTTCTTCCCTCTTTCTCTTTGTCTCTCTCTCCTCCGCCATTTCTGGAATTTTCTTCCTCATTTAGATTTCTACTACTTTATATCATCTTCATTTACTTCATTGCATGAACATTTGTAAGTTTTTCTCTCTCTTCTCTTATCTTCAATCTGCTTACTTCCTATCACCTTGATTGCTTGAATTTGATCAAGTTCTTGCATTGATAGTGTAAATATTTCAAATTTTTAAGATACCCTTTGAAAAACTGTGATTAATTTGTGTAATTTCTGCTTGATTTGCTCAAATTTGTACTTCATTTGAGTTTGTAAATCAATTTTATACTGATTGTGAAGAAATCCCATCTGGGTTTTGATGATTAGGTAGTGAATTTTAGTGGGTTTATCGTTGTTTTATGGATTGTGTTAGTAAATTGATTAAAGGGGAAGTTAGGGTTTTGGGATTGGGATCTGGTGGTGAAAGGTGGTGTTGGGGTGTGTGATGAGACGGCGTTGGACGGTTGGATCATTTCCGTATCAAATGGAGAAAGGGAATGTAAAGAATCATAGTAAAAGGCTTTGTGTATTGAGTTCATTGTGTGTGTTGTTTTGGAGTTTGTTGTTGTATTTTCATTTTGTTGTTTTAGGAGGTAGTACTGTGAATGAGTCAAATTCGTTGCAATCGAATCCGATTAGAATCGAATCGTTTCATCCTGTACCTATTGAACCTACCCATGTTCCGGTTTCGAGTAATGTTGTAAAGTCAACTAGTGATGGTAATGAGAATGAGGTGATTGATGATCCCTCCAAGGTGCCATTACCGGATGAGTCTGAGCCGTCTGAGGGGAGTGGCAATGGTGGTGCAAATGAGGGGGGTAATGATGAGGTTGAGGTTGAGCGTGAGGAGGTTTCGTCTGTGAGTAATCGTAAAATAGATGTTGGATCGAAGACTAGTGATCCTACTCCTAAGGATGAGGTAGTCCCTAAGGTTGAATCTCCTCCAGAGTTTCCATTTATGAGTGCATTGAAGACGGCTGAGAATACGAGTGATCCTTGTGGTGGGAGGTACATTTATGTTCATGATCTTCCCCCGAAGTTCAATGATGATATGCTTAAGGAGTGTAGGAGCTTGAGTCTTTGGACTAATATGTGCAAGTATACCACCAATGCTGGTCTTGGTCCTCCACTTGAGAATATAGAGGGGGTGTTCTCGGAAACTGGGTGGTATGCAACGAATCAGTTTGCGGTGGATGTGATCTTCAATAATCGGATGAAGCAGTATGAGTGCATTACAAAGGATTCTTCAATTGCTGCAGCAATATTTGTACCCTTCTATGCTGGGTTTGATATTGCCAGGTATCTTTGGGGCTACAATATATCGAGAAGGGATGCTGCTTCACTGGAATTGGTTGATTGGCTGATGAAAAGGCCAGAGTGGAAAATAATGGATGGAAGGGATCATTTTCTAGTTGCAGGAAGAATCACTTGGGACTTCAGACGATTATCGGAAGATGAAAATGATTGGGGTAGCAAGCTTCTATTTTTGCCTGCTGCTAAGAACATGTCAATGTTGGTGGTAGAATCTAGCCCCTGGAATGCAAATGATTTTGCTATACCATATCCTACCTACTTCCATCCTGCAAAGGATGCTGATGTGTTTGATTGGCAAGATCGGATGAGGAAGCTAGATAGAAAATATCTTTTCTCTTTTGCTGGGGCGCCTAGACCTGGGAATCCGAAATCAATTAGAGGTCAATTAATTGATCAATGCAGGAGCACAAAGGCGTGCAAGCTTTTGGAATGTGATTTTGGAGAGAGTAAGTGTCATTCTCCAAGTAGCATTATGAAGATGTTTCAGAGTTCCCTATTCTGCCTACAACCTCAAGGGGATTCATATACTCGGAGATCAGCTTTTGACTCAATGTTGGCAGGTTGTATACCTGTGTTTTTCCATCCTGGTTCAGCATACACCCAATATACATGGCATCTCCCTAAGAATTTCTCAAGTTATTCTGTGTTCATTTCCGAGAATGAAGTTCATAAGAATAATCTCAGCATTGAGGAAACTTTACGGAAAATACCTCCTCAACAGGTGGAGATAATGAGAGAGGCAGTCATCAAGCTCATACCCAGTTTGATATATGCTGATCCTCGCTCCAAGTTAGAGACCCTTTCAGATGCCTTTGACGTATCTGTGCAGGCAGTTATAAACAAGGTTACAAGGTTGAGAAAGAACATCATTCAAGGGAGGACAGAATATGATTACTTTATCGAGGAAAATAGTTGGAAATATGCCCTTCTAGACGAAGGCCAAAGAGAAGTTGGATATCACGAGTGGGATCCTTTCTTCTCTAAGCCTAAAGAAGGTGAAGGGGACTCAAATGGTGCTTCTGCGGAAGCTGCAAAGAGTTCATGGAAGAACGAGCAAAGAAGTCAAACGAGAAAGAGAAGCTCCTTATAGTTTTTTCTAATTAATGGCTAGATTCATACAACTGACACTGTGGAGCCCTGAAGAAATGAACAAGCTTCAATTAGCTGAGGTAAAAGTGGCTTCACATCAGAACTTTTCGCTTAGGATTATCAGGCATATCATCTTGTTCAAATTGTTCAAACATCATATTTTGTTGTTCGATAGGATACTTACATTCTACTGCACGATTTTGCGTAGTGATACATAAAATGTAGTATGATACATACATTCCTATGTAATGCATTTTACTTAGCCAGAACTATATTTTCATTTAATGGTTCAGAGCATTGGCACTTATATGCATTTTCTTCAATAATCTTGTCATTGTTGATTATGAAATACTCTGTATAGATTGATATGCCTCTAATCATTACAGTGCAACATTATTGTCATATTGGTATAAAAAAAAATACGAGTATTTTCTTGGTTGGTTTACTTGGTTGTGAATGGATACGTACATATTGCCTTCTTTCGTACCATTGATCATGTACTAACATCTTGATTAGCTATGTGATGTTAAAATATTTGTGCAAAGAAAGTGCATTTTAGTGCATGAAGATTTGGACATGTGAAAATAAATGTTGCAATTTTGAGCAAATAAGGAATCTTGTATGAAAGTGAGTTAGGTGGGACTTTTCAGCCTTTTCAGCGGAACTTAAGGCATTTCAATCATCAACATAACTATGCTTTCTGCCTTTTTCTTCCCTAAAATCTGGTCAATGATTGGACCATCTTTATACAATTATACATACACAATTAAACATAATATTCAAACTTAATTCTTTACGTGTTATAATTGACCCATAATTTTTGGTGTTAATTTGATAGTTGTAAATTGAGTTTCACAGCTGGGTTGCCAAAAGTTTTAGGCTTACTACATTTTAGTTCTTACTTACCAACATTTTGTCTTCGTCTATAGTTATTTCTTACAAACTTACATAATCATTACAAGTGGCAAATTAATTTCGTATTTTTAATCGTCCTTAAATATAATAATCCCTTAGTGTTTTAAAAAATGTTATACTGTTACACACAATATTATGGCCTGTTCTCATTAACTGAATTGAACTGAACTGAATTGAATATTTTATAAGAGAAGGAAATTAGGAGTTGAACTGAACTGAGCTGAGCTGAACTGAACTGAACTGAACTGAATTTCAACATAAGAGAATAGACCCTTACTTTAAAGTATTACGCAGATTATAATTTGACCAACTTGGTTATATATGTGCGGTGGAGAATCTTATATATACGACTATACGAGTATGGACTGAGAAATTTGATATGCATATAATATTAGTTTACTACATTATAGCACGATGAATGTGCATTGTGCATTTGTGCACGACCATGAAAAGAAGTGGAAGGTCATATAGTGTGATTATTTTATAGAAAGACTACCCAATAATGTTTAATTTAACTTAAGAATAATGTTTGTAACGATGGATGCATGAATTTAATAGAGCAGATGTAACAAACTAACTGCTCACAAAACCGCGTAGACCAGCCCTTGTTGTGGACTTAGCAATGGGAGTGCCATTACATACCATTTATGTCTCTTTGTGTTGCATTTACATGGACACTAGCATTTTTATATTTCTAATTAGGATCTCTCTTTTTCTATCTGTATTTATCGACTGATACATTCGGTTGAGGTACCAAATATGAATTGGGAGTATCAAGTATTTAAAAATGATATCCCCTTTGTTTCATAATGTTAGTCTCCTTTATGTATATCTATGTAATTTTTAATTGCAATTACCTTTATTCTTCCACCAACAAAAATTATAAAAATTAGATATTAATAATGTCTCATCAAGACAAATTAAACAAGCTAAGATCTCATATGATTGTGTTTTCCTCTTTTTTTTTTTTTTTTTTTTTTTTTAAGTTTAGAGAGTCACGAGGGTGGATGATGAAAATCGATCCCAAGATCAAGTTATCCTCTCATTTTTAATACTTCCTCCGTTTCATAATGTTAGTCCCCATATGGAATCAATCAAATAAAATAAGAAAACAAATATATTTGGGATCTAACATTAAAGTACAACAGATTTCATAATGTTAGTAATTTTTTTTAAATGGTACTACCATTATAAAACAAAAAAATACGTATTATTGCATATAAAGCCAACAAGGGCGTTGAATAGGAAGTGCTCCCTAGGCCCCGATTATTAGAGGGCCTAATTTTTTTTTTTTCAATTCTTATTTATTTATTTATTATTATTATTTTTTTAATACTAAAACTCTCAAGAACCTCCTTATTTGTAATGCACAACATATTCCCTCTATTAATCCAAGCTCCCGTATTAATTTCTAAGACTTTTCATATTCTTCAACCAATTCAAATTAGTATTTTCACAATTACATCAATTCCATTCCATGAAATTATAAAGTATATTTCTACATTCCAGAATTTAATATCAACATAAAAAAGCTAATTTCATCCAAATTAAAATTAAACGATTCGTATTCCGTAACAACGGCAAACATTTAAGCAATTAATTTTAATTTTTCATAATTATTCTTATCAAGCTGCTAAATATCTTCCCAATATATAAGGGTTATCTAAATGTGTATGGCGTAAATAATAGGTTAAAATTAAATTTTTGTATGTTTTTAAATTATTAAGGGGTCCATTTTTTTCATTTTAGAACAAGGCCTCCAAAATCATTGCAACGGCCAAGGTGGATTAATGTATACTGATTATGACTGTGAAAGATAATGAAAATGCTTTTAGTAGTATATCTAATAAAAGTAATAATTAAAATTAAATTTGTATCAATCAAATTAGATTACTACTTATAAGCGATTAATATTCAAACACAAACCTAAAGTCCTAAATAGGAAAGTACTTTAGTTTAATGTATCCTTGTATTAGGAGAGCTAGTAAAGCTTCTAGTTTGTAATACTTTTATATTTATTTAAACTGTTAAAAAAAAAAAAAAAAAAAAAAAAAGTCCTAAATAAAGATGGATTACATGAGCTAGGCTAGTCTAGAGGCTCAAGCACAATATTATTTGGTCAGATTATTCAAGAAAACAAGAAAAGCTTCAGCCCTTTTCCCTTTCATCTTACCTACTATACCTTTTATAAAATTAAAAAAAAAAAAAGTTATATTTAGTTACTAGGACAAATTGACAACTCAACAAACTACAAAATCAGCAGCATGCATGCCCGCATGCCATCAACCAAGCCAATATTTAATTTGTGGGTAAAGCCAAATCCGGATTATGAGTTAGCCACAAATTAAAATATGAATAGGCCAACGTTAAAGCGAAAACGACCATACTTTGAAGTTTAAACCATCTTGGTCCCTTGGATATCAGACAGGTCATAAATATTCGCATCATGAGACCAGCATTTGTCAATTGTCAATTTGTCATACATACTCATCTGATATAATATTAGGTAAATGGAATATTGGGATTTTAAAGTTATACAAGGGTGTTTTAGTCTTTGATTATTTTTATATTAAAAGTAAATTGAAAAAGTTGTCAAAAATAATACAAACTTTGAGTAATCCGCCAAAAACAAGTCAAACTTATAATTATTTTTGAATAATACAAACTTTGAGGGTTATCCGCTTTAAACAAGTTGAAACCGATTAGTTACCTGATGAATAGGTTATATGGAACACGTGACATTGTGTTATTTTATTAAAACTATTAAACAACTTTATAAGATAAATAAAAAAATAACCGGTTAAATAAGTTGTAGGTAAAATAACTTGTTTAAAGCAGATGTCCCTTAAAGCTTGCATTATTTAGAAATAATTAAAAGTTTGACTTGTTTTTAGCGTATCGCTCAAAGTTTGTATTATTTTTGACGATTTTTCTAATAAATTTCTGCATTTAGGTTATTTTGTACTTCATTTAGTACTTAACACCACCTAAAAAGTTTATATGTAGATATTTACCAAAAATAAATAAATTAAGGGTGCATCAAGAGATGCCACTTGTCAATATATCATGTGTCTATTTTAGTATATATCTCAATCAAGTATCACATCAATGTTGAAAAATAAAGTACCGCAGCAAAAGACAATATATTTTATGTGTATTATTTACTCAAATATTAATTTATGATTTTGGTAGTTGTCAAACATAAATATTGTTTTATAATCATATTCAATACTCCGTATTAAATTTAAAATGATGTTTTATATTAGTTAACACAAAGTATTGAATTGAAAGCCTCACCCCAACAATTGGTAAGACACTAAAATTATCATGTTGTTATTAATCGTTTTAAAATGATTTTCACTCGGTGTGACGCCGATTTCAATAACCGTCATGGTTGCAATAACTAAATTATTCACGCTTTCTCAATTCAATAATTACCAATTATTCAAATTTCTGGAAAAATTGATTGCCGTTAAAGTTTATCAATTACAAATCAAAATAAAATCTAAGAGAGAAAAAATATAAAAAAAATATAAAAATATACTTTAATGTGATGACAATTAAATGGCGATGATAATATTGATATACTGGTAGAGGTACCGCAGAGTCCCAAAAAAGTGTATCTCGGTCGCAACAAACGATCGAGAAAAGACTGTGTCGCTATCGAGGCCAGACGTGTCTATGCTAGTGTCTACCACCGTGGTATAGCTAACCATCCAGGTCCCAAAAAAGGTGAAACCAAGTCGTAAAAGACGATTGGAAAATGTTGCGTCGGGGTATGCCCGGAGTCTGTCGGAGTCTGCCTGACGTCTGTTTGGATCATAGTATGCCTAACCGTCGTGGTCCAAAAGTCAGACGAACGAAAAGAGGTCGTCGTGTGAGTGTGAGAGCTGCCTCAATGTCGACTAAACAAGAGAAAACAAAATTTTCAATTTTTTTTTTGGTGAATTTTTTTTTTAAATCACTATTTCTATTGAAATAAACAAAATTAACACTACTACATTACCTAAATTTTTAATACTCAGGATATAATTCCATCTTTTGTATTTTGAGGTTTATTAAGGATATGTTCTGATTTACCGAGTTGAACTGATTGGAGCTGAATTGAACTGAACCGAACTGGGATGAATTGAATTGTTTATGAAAGAAGGAAGTTAGAAATTGAAATGAATTACTTTTATACAATCAACTAATATAATCAGTTAATACAATTTGTTAGTCAAAATTAGCTAACATGATTCGTTTCATCTTTTAAGTTTTCAATTTTTAACCAAACATGGCCAATAAAGAATTATCCAATCCTTTTCATATAATAAGATTTTAGCTATGTAACCCCTTATCATTTCCTATATATTTTCAATTACACCATCCTTAAAACATACTTTCAGAGATTATCTAAAAGGTTATCATTCAAGATTAAACAAGCAGAGCTATGGAAATTGGAAAACAGGTTGACCTTGTTCACTCCTAATTTGTTATGAGAAAAATTGGTAAACTTCACTTTCAATAATGTTTTCCCCAAAATACCTC